TGCAGGACCCCCACTTCTTGTCCCCCTCCACTGCCTCTCTTTTTGCTGTTCCAGGATCCCCAACATCCTCCCTAGCTGCCAGAGATCATTCTTGTTTCCTCGTTACTCAGAAATTTAGCTCATTTTTGCTTTAACTTCCATACCATAAAAACTCTTTGGACAGTCTGTCCCTAATCCCCAAGTCTCCATACAAGAGGCATCTGCCCTGAGGCAAATTCTGCCGCTTTTCAATATTGTAAAAGTGATTGCTGGCATTTCTCTTTTTTTCTTTTCAAGTAACAATTTTTTTTCCTTTCTGTTATATGGTTTATTTTTTACAGTTCTCCTTTCACTTTGTAGATTTTAATTTTTAGTTCCTCCTTCCAGAGGAAGTTCAGGTTGTCTACTCCAATGGGTAAGTAAAGCTAATGGTACACGGCTGAGCCTAATTGGCCCTGTGCTCTACGCAGAAGGCAGAAGTGAGGCCTAGCTCCCTGGAGATAGAGATACTGGCAGTTCTTTCCTTTTTTTTGTTTTTTTTTTTTTTATTAAGCCAAACAAATTCTTTATTTTATTTTAATTAATTAATTTCTTTTTTTACATTTTAAGTTGTGGAGCAGTATATTATATTCGAAACAGTACATTATATTTGAAGGATAAGACTTCTTTATCTATATAGCAAACTTTTAAAGAAGGCAAAGAGCTATGTATAACTTGACACCTCTCCTTCTAATCTTTTATCTATTTTCTCAGTTAATAATCTTATTCACAGACTTAGATTAGATGGTTCCTTTATGATTTACTCATTTTCTTAAAATGTAGGGTCAAAAGCCCTCTTGGGAACTTTCAACCAACTTGGTATCAAAATGCCTCAAGTGACCTCTTAGCTAATGTGACAATTTGGGAGCTAATTTATTCCTTATCAGTAAGGAAGGCTGTCTGTTTTTCCTTCTCATTTAATTTCATTCTCGCTATATACAGGCCAGAAAGAAAGTGACAGTATTCTAAAGCATCTGTGACTGCCATCTCTATTTTCCTTTCAAGTAGGAAAGCAACTTTCAATTTTCCCAGGAAGGATAAAGAAATCATAAACAGCTTTCTTCCAATTAACTCACTGAGACATTGGTAGCATTTAAATTCAAAACTATAGTTTAGAAATTAAATACTTTTTACCAAGTCCTTTATCAATTGCTCTCATGTATAAACTTTGGTAAGGTACAAACTGCTTTCTGGTACAGCAGAATAAATTTGTAGTCAGAGAACAATTCTTAATAGTTAAAGTCATTCTATGACAGGGCAGTCACGTGGGGTTGATTTCAGTGTGGCCAGGAGCATTCTAGGATGGAGTCATGGAAAGGTGAGACTTGAATCATGTATGGTTGGGAGTCAGATATATGGGGGTTGGGTGGTTGAGCAGGTGAATAAAAAAGAATGAGCAAAGATGAAGGCAGAAATGAGCATTCTAAGTTTAGATGGCCATGAAAAGAGTAGTTGAGACTGATTGGGAAAAGGCGTGGAAAAAAATTAAGGGTGAAGGATACGTCAATCAACTAAAAAATACATACCAAGTGGTTCTGAAGTGCCAGGCACTGCTCTAGGAATTAAGGATGCAGTAGTGAGGAGGACAAAGTTTTCTGCAGACAAGAAATTTAAATTTGTATTTGTGGTAGGGTAGAGAGCTGGAAATAACAACATACATTTTTTTAAAAAGATAATTTCAGATCATGATGAAATTTAATTGTTGTAACTGATTGTGATAAAATGAAAAACAGACTATAGCCACCAGACTTTTAAAATTGTATACCCTTCTAGGTAAAATTATAACAGGTGTCCCATACATGTATGTTTTATTTTTTTATTAGTTTATATTTGCATTCTTAATATTATCTCCCATATGAATTTCTTAGCAGGAATCTTTTAGAGCCACTTGTCCATTTTGTGAAGGTTGGCTTAGTTAGCACTCTGTCTTATAATCCTTAAATCCACTTAACTTTGTACATATAAATGAGAACCCAAGTTGCAATAACAGAAAGTGAATGACTGAGTGAGGGCATATTGTCAACCCCTCTCTGTTGTGGAAATCACTCTTTCCTCAGGAAATTAGCACATGACACAATCACCTGAAAGATGCACTGAGTGAAGCTGCCAGCGTCAATTGCTGGGTTAAGACTTACAGTTAATTTTCAGTCCTTTCTTATTTTTTAGACAAAAATGTGAGTTCTAAATATTTTCATTTTACCCATTTTGGAAACCACTGTCATTGAGAGGATATAGGGAAAGGGTGGTGATGGAGTTTGGATGTGTTGTCCCCTCCAAAACTCATGTCGAAATTTGATCCCCAATGTGGCAGTGTTGGAAACTTATTGAGTCATGGGGGCAGATCCCTCATGAATGTATTAATGCTCTCCCTGGGGGAGTAATGAGTGAGTTCTCACTCTGTTAGTTCCTGCGAGAGCTGTTTAAAAAGACCCTGGCACCTCCTCTCTCCCTCTCTCTTGGTTCCTCTCGCCATGTGATCTGCTTGTACTCAACGGCTGCCTGCCGCTTTCCACCATGAGTAGAAGCAGCCTGAGGCCCATGCCGGATGCAGCTATCCCAGAATCATAAGCCAAATAAACCTCCGTTCTTTATAAATTACCCAGTCTCAGGCATTTCTGTTATAGCAACACAAATGTACTAATACAGGTGGTTACTAAAGGTAATAGGGGAAGGAAACTTTGTAAAGTGACATTTAGCTGAATTTTCAATAATGAGGCAAGAACAGGTATGCAAAGAAGAATGCTTAGGCACAGGAGTGTCAGTTACAAAAGCAGTGCCACTGTATTAATCCATTTTCTGCTGCTATAACAGAATAGCGCAAACTGAATAATTTATAAACAATAGAAGTTTATTTGGCTCATGGTCTAGAGGCTGGGAAGTCCAAGACCTAGGGGCCGTATCTGGTGAGGGCCTTCTTGCTGCACCATAACATGGTGGAAAGGTATATGGTGAGAGAGAGGAGAGAGAGAGAGAGAGAGAGAAACAGAGACAGACAGAGACAGAAACAGAAAGAGGCTGAACTTCCCCTTTTTATAAGGAACCCACTCCCATGATAACTAATTTGCTCCCATGATAATGGCTTAAATCTCCTCTTAAAGATCCCACCTCTCAACACTGTTGCAATGGCAATTAAATTCAGTGTCAGTTTTGGAGCCACTATGAATATTATGGAAATAAAAGATTTACTGTACGAATCAGATCTTACACAGATGAAGGAGGATTTCAAGAAGTGAAAGTCTGGAAGGGTGAGTAAAACGACTAGAGAAAAAATCACTGTTCAATCCCTCAGAAGCACTAGGACATCTGGACGAACCAGAGTTTGTGAGAAAGTCCAAGAAGCCAAGCCTGTCCAGCTGCCAAATTGGAACTGTTAGGGTCTGTGGCAAGCTGTTGTTCCTGTGTCACGACTGCCTCTGTGAGTCCACTGCCAAATGTCTGGTGAAGGGTCTGGGACTACTGTTGATCACAGAGCCAGCAGTCGTGAAGACAAATGGAATGTGGAAGAAGAGAGCAAGGAGAAGCTGGGACCCACTGGATACATTGTGTCTGTCAATATGTCTAATCGAGAATAAGGGTCATTCTTTCACTTCTGCCTTCCAGATCTCACATAAGTTTCTCTTTGGCTAACTCTAAGACAGGGAAGGAGATTCTGGGAAATGTCATTCCCAGCCAAGTTGACATAGCAAAACCCAGCACCACAGGGAACAGCATATGCAAAGTCCCTGAGATGGAAGTGAACTCAGTGTGCTCAAGAGATGAAGAGACACTAAGAAGATAAGGCTGAGAATCAGTAAGTGAGGGGAGTATAGAGGGAGCATGATCAGAGAAGCAGGCAGAGCCCAGCTCACGCCATGTTTTCACTTTATTCTAAACTGGAAGATTAGAATAGGCAAGGTGGTGGCATTCTGTCAGTTATTCTTTAAAAAGATCATTCTGGCTGTCCTGCATGTTAAGGAAGCAAGAGTAAAGCTGAGAAAAGAGGTAGTAGGGAAAACAGGAGGCTATTGAGGTAGCCCAGGAAAGCCACAATGATGGCCTGGACTAGGAATAGAAAAATGTAGATACAGAGAACTGGTCGGGAAGGCTTTTGGTCTCATTTCTCCAGCATGTATTTTCAGTCCTGGAAACATTTCCATCTATGTGAGATGTGGGACACCGTCCCTTGCAAGGAAGATACAACAGAGGTAAGTGGTCAGGGAGGGTCTCAGACAAACATTGAGTACTTTTTATGCACCAAAATCTGTGCTGAGCCTCTTCCTCAGAACAATTCCGAATGAGAAAACTGATGCACCAGGAAGGTTAAATAGTACACTCGAACCAAGGTCACACAGCTAACAAGTAGTGGACGTTTAACCCAAACCCAGATATTTCAGAATCCAGATTTTTAGCTCTTTTGACAGGATCCTGCTGCCTCTCAGCTTAAGTCTCTTGTGAGAATTCATGTCCACCATTAGTGGGTATAACCTGCCCAAACATCACACCTTTCTGACCTGTCAAGTGTACTGGCCAACATTCTCTGTACACTCTCAACCTTTCTAGAGGCCACATTGCATAATATCTCCAGCCCAAGTTTCTGGAACTCTTAAATAATGTGTCCTATGTTTAGGTCTCCACTATAACTACAAGGCTTTATAATATTTGAACATATATAATTTTAGGAGATAGAAAAAAGTTAGGACATTTATGGTTTCCTGGGTGAGTGTATTTCATTGGGATAGTGTTACCCTTGAAGATTAGGAAATCTAATTCCACGTAACTCTTGTAAGTCAATGCTGTTATCAGGCAGTGTTGTCATATTTTACATAGAAATTATTTTCTGTCCCTCAATAGCCCTTTAAAGGGCTTTCATGTTTTTAATCTCAATTAATGTTACATCTTATAAGATGAAAGCTAAACAGTAAACGAACAAGGACACATGAGAATTACTGTTAAACATGCAACAGTTGAAAGGCATGTTCAAGACATAAAAAAATCACAATTTGTTTTCTCTTCAATGGTCTATTTATTGATACCACTGACTTTTAACAAAGAAAACATTTCAAAGTACAAAGTATATATGCCAGTACTGCTTTGAACTTAAAAACTTAGTATACATATATCTATAAATGATAAACAATTACGTGTGTGTGCGTGTGTGTGTGTGTATCACAGATACTTAGTGAAAAATATGTGGTCTTCTGTTATTAGTTATAAACTGTCCACTTTACCTGTGAGATGCAAAGTAACTGGGTCAACGACTCTCAAATTAGGTGACATTTAGATTTTTCAGAAGTGTTACATGGAATGAACTAAGGAGTTTCACCATTAAATAAGACTTTTGAGTGGTATCACCACTGGGCAGCACTCAAAGTCATCTACAGTGTGAGGAGTGACAACATTTGGGAAAGTGAGTATAGGTTTAAATTCTAGCCAAAGACATTCCCTCCTACACAATTCACTGAACTTCCTCTTTAAAGAGGTTTCCAACCCTGCAGAGGCAAACTGGGCACCAACCATGCCTCCACTGACAGAATTTGTTGCTCCCTCTAGCTCTGGGTGTCTTTTTCATGACGGCTAGTGTGGTATTGATAATCACAATACTTCACAAATCCTGAGATAAGGTAAACTGGCAATGAAATTCATATTTGCGTAAAATGAGTTTTCAAAAGGATTTTGGTGGCTATCTTGTTAGATCATGGAAAGCTAAGGCTTGTCAGGAATGGTATTGAAGGAGTTTTTGTATTTGGTGGGGAAAAGTTAGTCACTAGTTGATCTCTAAAGCCCTTTTCATTGTAAGATTCTATGACTCTAGTTGTCCTGTATATTTCGTGAAAATAGTCCAGAATATCCACAAGCGGTTTAAACATGTGCTCCTTATTTGTTGGAAAAGCCAAGTTAACATCTTGTCCTAATAAGACAAGGACATTACATCACCCCTGGTCTGACAATGGCCTGGAGATAATGAGTAAAAGAGGTTACCAGGGTTAGATAATATGGAGTAGCCAGGAAATAGCCAGTGCCTGCTCTGAGAAGATGGTCTGATTGTCCTTTTACCTGTAATGACTGCAATTAAGAAATTATTCAAAATTTAGTTCCACAGTATATTAGGCATAGTAGCAGATTCAGGGAAATAACTATGGCTCCTGCCCTCAAGGAACTAACAATCTGGTTGAGAGAGAGAATAAACACACAAAAAATTAATTAAATAATTAAGTGCTCACTCATATGGTACTAATCACAAGTAAAAATAGGAGTTTTAAGATAATTTGAGTGTCCAGAAAGATGTTATTTAAGAGGCAGCACTTAAACTTAGCCTTGAAGACTAGATTGAGTGAGGATGAGTGGGGAGAAAAAGGCATTCCTGTGGGGTGTTGGGGAAAAAGTGAGATAGGAGTAGACCCAGGTGAATGGGTCTCATGAATGAGAGAGCATGACACATGCAGTGGAGAGGAGGCAGGCATTGAATTGTAGCAGGATGGTGAAGAACTGGCTTGACCGAAGCAGAAGGAAACAATAAGAAATAAAGTGGTCAACCTGGGCAGGCAGGATGGAGTCACATGGCCTCAAAAGGCAGGTAGAAGCCAAGCGCTAGTGATCTCCAGTGGTGGACCCCCAGAAACAACCAGCACGGATCTCTCAGGCACATTGTGTATGAGGCCTGTGGGCTGATTCAAATACAGAGGCTGATGGCCATGGCAGCTTGGTGAGGTCCAGCTCAATCCCAGACTGCTTGGCTCTCCAGCACACTGACAGGCCCAGGGCTTGCTGGCATGTGCCTCAGAATACTCTCTGGAGGCTGCAGTTTGTGGCTCAGGAAGCCTAGGGTTGTTGTCCCAGTCAGCTGTGTGTGTAGGATGTGGCTGTGTGAGCATTCGTCCAGATGTGGATATTCCCAAGACTGTGGCCGTCAGCATAACAATATTCAGTTGGTTGGGGGTAGAACAAAGACACCTATAGCCTTTAACAATTCTTAACATTTAGATTTTAAAATCAACCTTCTAGCTTTAGTTACAATTCCATAATAATACTTTCTATTTTCCAGTCAAATTAACAAATCTATGTACTTGTATTAGATGCCTCCCCTTTTGGAATTATTTCAGTACAATTAAAAAACATTTTAACACAAAATACTTGTTGATGAAGTGGTCCCTTATGTAGTCTTCTTTTGACGATGATGTTGAGGTTTTTTAACTTTTAGAACTTTCTTGCTTTTTTGATGCTTTCTCCCTTTCTTTTGCTTTTTCTTTTGGCTGATCTGTGAGGAGAAGGAAAGAAAGGGCAATGTTTTTGAATCTTACCATTTTCCCTTCCTTATATTATATCTGGACTCTCCTGACTGTGGTCTTTCTTTATTCTCAAAACCAGTTTAACATTGGTTCACTCTCAGAGTGGTTCCCTTTGATTCTTTCTACAGTGCTCACAATGGCAGCCGTCTTTCGGCGGTCTTTTGTCTATTCTCCAGGCTTATTACTATCCTCACCTCAGCTGCACTTACCACCCACCTGCCCCAACTACAACCCTCTGAGGTGGGAACTATTACATCCACTTTTTCCATATGAGGAGACTGAGACCTGTAGAAAGCGGCTTGCCCAAAGTTGCACAGCTAGTATTTGGCAGAACCACTAGTCTGTCAGACTCCAGAACCCAAGCTTCCAATCACATATTCTGTGGCTCTCTTCAAATTCAACTCCTTAGTACATCATGCAGGATTCTTCCCACTTTGTCCTGGTCTACTTTCCTACCTCAGTCCCTTCATGCCCTTCACTCAAACTCTAACCACATTACTGGAGGCTTCTTGAACACAGCAAGTGCTCTCCTGATTCTACTCCCTCCCTCCAGCAAAATTAAGTACTCCTTCCCCTATAATCTTCAAGATCCTTAAACATAACTTTATTTTATATTTCTCACATTGTATTATAATTATTAGCATATTTACAACAGAAGAAAGGGACTATAACTTATTATGTTTGTATCCTCAGTATCCACCACTCAATTGAGTATGTATTTATCATATAGAATAAGAAAGACTATCTCCCTACCCTCATGGAACACACATTCCATGGAGACAGACAAGTGATGCCATATGCGGGAATACAATTTTGTTTTAGGAACAAAATAGGAGCACAAAAACATGAATGAAAAATGAATCCTTAAAGGAACTACACAGATTCTTTGTCTTCCAAAATTACTTTCTAAAAGAAAAAAATGTTGTTCCTCCTTTTCGCCCACCTGTTTCTCCCACTGATTCATCAGTTCCTTCACATCTGCTGAATCTGGGTTTAGGCATGTTTGATCTCCATTCCTCATTATAGCACTGCCAAGGAAATTGCAACAAGATATTTTTCCTCTGTTAATCACTTAAATGCTTTTTTTTAATTTTCAGAAATAATGAAAACCAGCATGAATTTTGCTGAATTTTCTAAAACTACTTGAAATATAATAAAATGTTTTTCTAAGACAAGATAAACAGACTGGTTGTATTTTTAAAATTACTTACAGCAGACCATCCAGGATTAACCTAAATATGTTTTCTTTAATTTCTCTGTATAGTCTGAGAATAAGAGTAGCCACTCTACAGATCATCCTTGATTTAGATATCAAAAGACTTAAAATATGATTATCCTTTAACCTAGCAATTGCAATCTTTAGAAAGGTATTAATATGGAAAATTAAAGACAATATTGCCACAATAACAATTTGGTTTCAGTAGCAAAAATTTGGAAATAATTTACATTTCAAACAATAGGCATTGATCATATAAATTATGATATATCCCTATGATGGAATACAATTTAGACATTGAAAAATTACATTAGAGGGCTGGCTGGTTAGCTCAGTTGGTTAGAGCACTGTGTTGATAAGGTCAAGAGATTCGATCCCCATACCAGCTAGCCACAGGGTAAAAAAAAAAAAAAAAAAAAAAAACATTATTAGAGAAGATTTACTGACATGAGAAAATGTTTATGATACAGTGTTAATGAAAAAGCAGCTTATAAAACAACTTTTAGTATATGATTTTATTTGTGTGTATATATTGTGTATATAAATATGTGTTTATATATTTTGTGTCCATATATGTACACACAAAGCAAATGAGAGAGATTTGGAAGACTATATACCAACAGTATTTGTCACCAGATGGTAGGACTATAAGTGATTTTTATTTTCTTCTTTTGGGTTATCTGTATTAATACTTTCTACAATAAACATGTGTTACTTCGGTAATATATCATCCTTCACCCACCAGAAATTCCTTGTTTTTTTAAGAAGAAAAGAAAGAAACAGCCCAGATTTATAGATGGGCTAACCGTCTGGATTCTAAGTGTTTGTAGAAGCAAGCATTCTGAGGGTAAAATTCACACTAAATTTAATGTCTCTGCCAATATGGTACATGTGTATTAGATGAGTTTTTACTTACATGATTTCAGTTTTCTCGCAGGCAGGGCTTGGGGCAAATTGTTTAAGGTATTTCAAGGATTTTAGGTGGATGGTCCTTTGGCTAGTGCTGATGCAAGAACAGCGTACATTCCTCATTATTGGGGCTCCTAAGGGAAAGAAAAAGGATAGAACACATCAGTGTAGGACAATGTCACAAATTTAGGTGATCCATCAAAATGATACACTTGACTTAATCATGATTATTGCTATCATTTACTGAATGTCTGTAAACCATCACCACAGGCTTCTGAAGTACGTATTATCTCCATTTTATATAAGGAAGCTAAGGGTCAGAGAAGCTAAATGAAGAACAAAGTCATACAGCTTTTAGGGGGCAGATGTAGAGTTTCAGCTCAGGTTTCCCTGAGTCCAAAGGCATTGCTCTTAACTACCATACCTTACAACCTTAGGAGGAAAAGAGACTTTCACAATATTTAATAAATGCCTATCACAGGTCAGACACACAGACACCTAATTCATGTGTGCTATGCAGATCACAGTTTCTTATGCAACTCCCCAAACCATTTATTACCTGACATTAGTTAAATGGAGTTGGTGTTGGTTTGGACAGAAAGTTCTACTTGTAATAATCAGTTACCACCTCCATCCTCATCCTCCTTCCTACCCACTGCCTTGATTTTTAATAGTAATTTATACTTTTGAAAACCCTTTCAAATACATTATTTTCATATTTCAATTCTTATATTCATTCAACATATATTTACTCAGTGAGTACTATGCCACACATTGTGTTGTAGGTAGAACAGTTATAACTACAAAATTTCCATTTTAAAGATGAGGAAACTGAGGTCAGGGAAGGTTAAGTTATTTTCCCGAGGTAACAAAGATATTAGACAGATTAGAAACAACCTCTCTGATTACTGGATCTTTAACTGGTTAACCACAAACACGCTTACCAAGAAACAACATCAGGGTGACAAAAATAATTTAAGACAGTGTCCATCATCTCATTATCACCCAGTTCAACATTTATTCAACAAACATTTAATTTCTAGGAATTCACACACCTAGACTGAGAAGACTTGTGTTTGACTTAGCAGGTCCAAGTTATGACCTTTGGATAAGTGACCATATAACCAAGAAGCTATTAATGAGTAACCAACATTGCCCATGCATGCAAACATTCATCTGTATCTGGTGAATCAAGATGCTTTTACAGTGATTCACTTCTCTGACTTTACTGATATAGCATAACTTAGAACCCCTTACCTTGAATTCCAATCACAACCAGGAAGATGAAGCCCAGGAGGAGAGGAATACCACTTTTCTTCATTGTGGTAAAATGAAATTCTACTAAGTCACTCCTGTATTGGATTTTGAGCCTGAGAAATTTTTTAGAGAACATGCTTTGGGGAATCATATTTATTTAGAACATCCTTCCCTCCTAAAGTCTGATTGGTTGGCATCTTTAGCTGATTTAACTAAACTAACAACAAACCTAATAGTGCTGGGGGAAACCCACTCGCAGATCCAAGGGAATTTCTGTATGTGTTATTTCCATTTCACATAAATGGGTAGTTTATGGTAAGAGATGTGAAACCAGCAACACTGACAACCTTTAGCACATGCACAGCTGCTCACCTGAATAAAGAAGAGGTTATACAATAAATATACTAATGTTCCACAAGGGTGGGAGATGTGGTTTCCAGGTGGAAAATATTACAGTCCAGACAAGCAACAAGCTTTTTCAATTTCCCTTACTATTTGTGGCATATCCTTTTGTACGTTATATGGCTACATTTATCATTTCTTATCTTGCCCGCCCAAACATTTAAAGCATTTTAATTTCTTCAGGAACCAGGTCATTTTCTACTAGTGGTAAACTCATTTTTCATCATTGCTGCTACAGTTTACCATTTAAAAAATTTTTAGATTAGTTACAATAAGGTTTCAGTCGCAGTTCAGTTCAGTTCATGTAAGAGACCCAAATTAACAGTGGCTAAGACAGAAGCTCATTTCTCCTGACAGAGGTAGGTGGGCCAATGCTTATATGGTGGCTCTTTTTCATGAGGTCGTCCAGGCTCGTCTGCCTTGCTGCTTTGCCACCATCTCTAGGTTGCTTCCCTCATGTACATGGCCAAAGGTGGTTGCTACCATGTCCAATCACCAAGTACAGGATGGTGGGAAGGCAGAAAAAGGGCACGCTCCTCTTTGTTAGACCTGTCCTAGAAGCTGCACCCATCACTTGCTGTCACCTCCCATGGGGCAATACTTATTCACATGGCCACATCTAACTGCAGGGGAAGGTAAGAAATGGGATCTTTATTCTGGTTGACCAGCTAAAGATTGGAGGTTCCATTACTATAAAACAGTATTTCTCAACCTTTTTTTCATTATGGATTCCCCTACCTGACCCCCTTCCCTGAGAAAAAAATCAATTGAAATTAATTGAAATCTAAACCAAGAAATAAGATTTTGTTAGCTGGGGTTGAACTTTGGTGGGCCACTAATCATCATAATATCTAAGATTTTTTTTTGCCCTCCAAGAACCAAGTTTTGTTCACTTTGGGAGCAACACTGACCTTCCCTCCCCAATTGAGAATGCATGCCATAGAATAAGTGGAGAATAGATATTAGCATTTTATGCCACACGGTACACATTGTTTAATGACTGGTTTCTATATGGATTGTGAATGCCTGAACAGAACATTACACAATTCTGTCTCTCTCTCTCTTTTTTTGGCAGCTGGCCAGTAAGGGGATCAAATTAACCTTGGTGTTATTGGCACCACACTCTAAGTGAGCTAATTGGCCAGCTTAGAACCCTTTTTGAAGAAAACTTGTGGTAACCTTTGATACAACTTATTCATTTGGTTATGCTTAATTTTGGTAATGATGGTGACCATGCCATAGGGTGGAGGCGAATTCAGGTTTCAGCTTTCTACTTAATGACTGTGTTCAAAATACTCAACTTCTGTGAGGCTCATCTCATCTGAGAACTCTATTAGCTGACTTCACAGGTTGTTGTTAAGGTTAACGGCAACAATAAATACACTGTCACCTGCAAAGGTGGGTTGATTTTTGGATCGTAATAACTTCGTATAGCCACTATAGAGCTAGTGGCTATGCTTTCTAGAAAAGAGAGGAGATGGAAACTTTGGATAAAAAGTAAGGCCCATACAGAGGGAGGGAACATTCCCAGGGCTGCAAAGGGGAGTTGGGGGAGGGGTGAGGGAGGGAGAGGGTGGTTGGGAGACAATTGGGTGGGGACATGGGGTATAAAAGCAATTTCTGGTAATTTGTATCTCATGAGTATTCATAATAATAAAAATAAAATAAAATAAAATAAAAACTAAGGCCCAGTACGGTTTTTTGCCCCTGCTCGCCTCTCCCATTCTTCTTCTTTTTTTCTTTTTTTCATAGCTCTCTGCTCCCATCACCCTGTTCCTCAAAGGGACAACGCTCTTCCCATCGCACGCTTTTTGCTCATGCCCTTTCCCTACCTGGAATGCTGTGCCTGCTCCGCATCCCTGCCCTACCGCCCAGTAATCTCACCCACCTTTATCCAGGCAAGCATCCCTTCCCTGGTAGACGACCTTGAGCCTCCGGGGGGTTAGGTTCCCCACCATATGCGCTCATGTCACCACCTGGCTCTCCTCATACATTTATCATCTCCCTCTGCCACCAGACGAGGAAGGCCTGTGAGGGTCCACGTCTGAGCACAGTGCTGACCACACCGCTGGGTACACGAAGTACTCGGTAAATATGTGTACAAGATCGAGGGAAGGAGCTCGGAGCCTGGCTCCATGATCGGCCAGGGCCTGCCAAGCGCTGCCTGGCTCCGCGGGACACAGACCCTGTGACCGACCCCGGGGCTGAAGCACACGCACTGAGCATGCCCAGCCAGCCAGGCTTCCAGAACCTTCTTCCGTGTGGAGGTTACGGCCGGACCTCGCAACGTTCGTGCCTTTCGTGTCGCCGCTGGGTGTCCGGGCTGCCTGCGCTGATCCGGCTGAAGGGAAGGAAGCACCTCGGGGGAAAGGTAGCGTTTGTGCCGTGGGGATCGCTCCCAGCCGTCCACTGCACGCCGCGCGCACGGCCCGTTTGTAACTTCCACACGAGGCCTGGGTGAGGCCAGCAGGGAACGAACGATGGGCCGGGCCAGGCAGGCCTCTGGGCCGTGGCTGCGGTGACTGGAACTGGGGGCCCTTCAGACAAGAGAAGGGAGGTGCTGGGGTCGGGTAGGAGTCTTCGTACTCAGAAGGGGCTCGTTTTCTCTGGTAACGAGCAGAGTGGGAGGGCTCCTCTGGGCGGCCCGGCTGGGTAGTGGAACCACTGTTCCGTGCTAAGGCACCCCCGAGCAGGCTTGGCCCGTGGAGAGTAAGACTGGGGCCGCTGCCCTCAGCTTGGGCCTGTTCAGACATTTGTTTCCCAGGCCTCGATTTGGAAGTTGTCATGAGACTCTGAGAGAAAGCACGTTTCCAACAGGAGAGAAGGACAGAGAAAAATCCCACCGATATCTCATTTATGGCTAGACAAGGCTTTTAGGAGAAACAGAAACCTGGCAAGAAGATATTGCAGATGTTTCTCACAGTCCTGGGAATGGAGCCAAGGTTTATCAAAACAGTTAAGATCAGCAGAGTTCCTAATTCCCATTTGGACAAGTTTTAACTTCTTTTGCCTTGAGAAATTCCAGTTCTGTGTCCCCGAGGAACCAAATGCTGATGTAGGGTTCGTAGTTTTCACGTGTTGCCAAGTCCCCCTTCCATCTTTTTGGTTATGGGATCAGGTGGTGGTCTGTTTAATTATGTACTCACTGTAGTCAGTGAAGATAAGTGCCTTCCTTTTTACTTGGGAAAAGGGAAGTTTCTCTCATAACAAAACCCCCAAGCCTGTTTTAATTTCTCCCAGTGTGGACTTTCCCTCCTCTCAGCAGCAATTAGTAGTACTAAAGGATGCTGACTTGAAAAGGGATTTATTTCTTGATATTTTCGGAAGCCCTGACTTAGCGTTCTGATTTTTCTTTTTCCTTCTTTTCTCCCCATGCAGGAGGTCATTCCTTCCTTCCAAAATATTATATGATAAGCTGACAGCAAGCAGATCATGTTGGGGGGCGGGGGTGGGGGGAATTTCATATCCTGTTTGCATCTCAGGTCTCTAAGAGAAAGTAACAAGTTCCTCCTTTGCGAATTTTACTTTCTGGCATCCTGGTTTATATTTCTCATGCAAAGTTTATGGATTGGATTAGATTTGTGAATAAACTATCTTAGGAGAGAATGTCTGAACATTATTTGATAGACAGCTGTGGCTAAATGTTGTCAGTAACACGTTTTTGCTCTGTGACTTTTGGCAACTCAGCTTATAGTCTGATGACATGGAAGCATAGTCATTAAGAAGCTGCTGCCTAACTTGAAGAGAAATTACCCTGAAAAGGGAGAAAAGATTATTACGTTTAAAATATCCATATTTATTTAAGATGATTTGTTTTAAAATTGCTTATCTAGGTAACTTTACAAGAAAAAGAATTTACATTTTTGAAACCCTTTTACTGTTTATCAGTCATTTCAATTCATTAGTCAATTTTTGTTATTATGCTTCTAGACTGTGAGGACACAAATATGAACAATAATTTCTGCCCTCAAAGAGCTCACAGTGGGGGAAAGCAGCATGTAAACTAACAATTTCTGTAAGAGAAGCAGTAAAGGATTGTAGAAAATTATGGTAGGTGCAAAGAAGTCCAAGGGTGTGGCTGCTGCATTCAGACACAGCTGTTTGAGTTCTGCAAAGAGAATTGGTTAGAATGTTACTAGAAGGAGGTGAGGAGAAAGGTACTCTGAGTAGGAGGCATGAGAAGGTATGCCAAATTTCAGAAACTGCAAGTACTTTGGCAAGGGTAGGATGTAGAGTGATAACTAGGGAGTGGTGAGAAATGATGCTAGAAATGTACAGAGACAAAGAGGGTGAGGGCCTTGTAAATCTCTATGTGATGAGAAGACATTGAAGGATTTTAACCAAGAGAATGACATGAAGAGATTTACACACACACACCACCCCCATATGTACATCTGATTCTTGTCACCAAACAATACCTTTAATCTTCTTTTACATAAACATTTCCTTGTATCTACATAGTTTATGTATTTTAAAAATGGGAATTTATATTTCTAGTCTGTTTACTCTGAATGCTGAGCATTTGAGTTATTTCTAATATTTCAGTAATAGTGCTCTTATTAGTTTTTACAAGATTTTACTTTCTTGTGATATTTTCCTCCTTTGGAACTATAGGGACAAGGTTAAATACATTTCTATATTTTCTATAACATTTTGACAGATTACTTGCCAGAAAGATTAAATTAATTTTTTCTTTTTGGCAGGTAGCTGGTAAGGTGATCCAAACCCTTGACATCAGTGTTATCAGCACCACGCTCTAACCTAGACTAATTTTGTAATGCCCTGGTCAGTGTGTAGATATACCTGTTTTCTAATTCTCTTGTCATTTATATTTACTTTTGTTCATTTAATATGTAAAAATTGGCACCTGAGATTAGTGTTCTTTTCAAATTCTTTACCTATTGACATTTTAGTTTGTGTTGGCTTAATATCTACATCTTCCATCTTTTCAAGATCATTTGTCAAGTGGAGTCAGAGTATTGACCTTATAAATGTATGTCAATTCTTTGCATATTTTGAATAAGAAGCTTATTTTTAGTTAAAACATCTGCTTTTTCTATTATGTTGCCTTCATCATTTCATAAATTTTTATTGAAATATAACACATGTTATGGGCTGAAATGTGACCCCTCAAAATCCTTATGGTGAAGACCTACCTGCCAGTACCTCAGAATATGACTGTGTTTAGAGATAGGGTCTCTAAAGAGGTAATTATGTTAAAATGATGTCCCTGAAGAAGCCTAGACATTGAACTTACCAGGCTAAATCAACTGTCTTAAATATGCTCAAAGAGCTAAAGGAAACCATTTACGAAGAATAAAAGGAAACCAGACAAAATGAGAATATCAGTAAAAAGACAGAAATTATAAAAAGGAGCCAAGCAGAAGTTCTGGAGCTGAAAAGTCCAAAAACTGAAGTGAATAACTCACTGAAGGGGTTCAGCAGCAGTTTTGAGCTGGCAGAAGAAAGAATCAGCCCATTTGGGCCAGTCCTGTGGCTCACTCGAGAGAGTGCGGTGCTAGTAGTGCCGAGGCCACGGGTTCGGAACCTACATAGGGATGGCTGGTGCGCTCACTGGCTGAGCATGGTGTGGACAACACTGTGCTGAGGGTTGTGATCTCCCTACCAGTCAAAAAAAAAAAAATCAGCCCATTTGAAAAGAGGACAATTGAAATTATTCAGTTTGAGGAACAGAAAGAAAAAAGAATGAAGAAAAGTGAACAAAGCCCTAAGAAACCTATGGGATACCATCAAGTGGACCAACATATGCTTAATACAAGTTTCAGAAGTAGAAGAGAGAGAAAGGGGCAGAAAGAATATTTGCAGAAATAATGGCCAAAAGTTTCTCTAATATGGTGGAAGACATGGACCTATACATCCAAGAGGCTTCAGTGAACTCCAAGCAAGATAAACTTAACGAGATCCATACTGAGATACATAGTAATTGAGTTGTCAAAACCCAGAGACAAAGAATCTTGAAAGTTGTGAGAAGTCATTTATCACATAGGAGGGAGCCTCAATAAGATTAGCAGCTGATTTCTCATCAGAAACCATGGAAGCAAGAAGACAGTGGAATGAAATATTTAACTCAAAACCATATGAAGAAATAAAGAACATTGGTGAAGGTAACTACATAGGTAGTTACAAGGAATTATACTAAGCATATATGCTAATGAATTTAGGTCTTGCAGATCAGTTTTATTTTCTGATGACTGGTCATCAGTATGAATAAATGAAATGCATGTGGATCATTGTTGTCTTATCTATTTTTATTGATGCTAATCATTACACAGAAAGAATGCTAAGTTCATTAGCATATATTTAGTGTACTTCCTTATAACTGTAATCTACGATATTTTAATGGGTTATTCTTATTTATTGCACAGAAGCCTTGCAAACTCCTCCCCATAACTTCTTCTAAGGTGGAGCTAGCTCTAAATTGCCTAGGTTAATGTCTTGCTAATGTTCTGTTATTAAGAAAAGCCAACACAGTAATGAAGTCAGCCATCATAATAAGAAAAGACAGAACAATACACTGTCTAGCTAGCTCCACCTTAGGAGGAAAAAAAAGTGTTTGTGATTGTAAATAAAATAGTCCAGACAGTCTTAGAAAGTTTAGGAATACCTTGGAAATAAGAACCATTAATGTCTTCTTTAGGGTTTGGATCTTTGAAGTCAGCCCTGATTTCTTTTTCTTTGTCTTTTGGCAGCTGGCTGGTATGGGGATCCGAACCCTTGACCTTGGTGTTATAACACTGTGCTCTAACCAGCTGAAGTTCTGGTTTCTTAAACAGGTCTGCAAACTAGCCAAGCATTTCCAGTGTCATTGCATATAAGATTACCCAGACATGGTTATGTATATTGGTGTCCCCGTAGCTTGAAGTGAATGCTTTGCAAACTGATATGGTCTGTTCAAGGTCTGTGATAAAATTAGAACTGACTCATGGTTTTTACCCTTTTTGAGGTTATAGAACTCAGTGGGAATTTGGTAAAAGCTGTGAATATATGCACACTTGTACAACATATTGCATATGATTTTAGGGAAATTGTTGAGTCCTACAAAACACACATCCCAAGATAAAAATCTTCTGCTCTGGGGGTGATGGCATTGCACT